GTCCCATATTTAAAATTATTTTTTATATTTACTTTCTTGAGTAAATTAAAAAAAAGTGTTTTTTTTGTCAAATTTTATATATAAATTTGGGTAAGTCAACTCATTTGATTTATATGTAACAACAACCAAGGGGACATGTCTCACGTCTGATAATTAAATTATTAAAATCCATTAAATTAAATGTTTATTAAAGCTCAATTTATTTATTTTTTTCACCAATCTTTAACTAAACATAACATAAACGTGGATTCATTGACCTAGAGTACAGAAAATATACAATTCAAATAAGTGGTGAAGCATAAAAATATACATATACATAAATTATAAAAAGTATAATAACCTCTTGAACTTCCTCAATGATAACTTCAGCTCCATCAATTTTGTCCGTCATTGGTAATAACGGTCGTTTTAAAATCTTGACAATAATCTCATTTTGCGTCTTAATGATGGTTTCTACTTGATTATTGGCATCTTTAGTAAATTTATAATATGTTAATACCGGATCTGTAGGCTGTAATCCCGCCTAAGAATATAATTGATGTAAATATAAACTAAATGTTAGTAACAGAGCTACGTTCAAGATTGCGCATAAAAAGAAATGAGTTCACCTTTTTTCGCAATCTCTGAACACGATTCACAACCTCACGAGCCAATCCTTCCTCTTGTAAATCATTATATATTTTGACATCCAAAAGTATAAGAACGTCCTTATCAGTACTCGTTTCATAATGGCTGTTAGCATCCTCGAAATATCTTACTACTTGAAGGTCTTCTTCGACCACTTTAATTCCATCAATCAAAATCTCTTTAGTGTGTACGAAATCTTTGACTTGCTCAGAAGTCAATGTGGGTAAAGCATTCTTTACTTTAACAGCATCTTTTTTAAGTTTTTGACCTAACACTTTCCAATCAGCCTCTGCTCGGTATTTTATGCCATATTTACTTTCATCCGATGTAGCAAGAAGATTTTTGATATTTAATTCCTAGTTCATAAAAAAACATTATTTTAAAATGTTTGATTATATGAATAATTATCAAAGTTACAAAGTTTAGTATGATGTGCAGAACGTACTTCAACGATATAATTCTCAAGTGACGTAACATCTGAAAGATATTGTGAATCCGAATGTATTACGATAAGCTCTTTCAAAGGTGTCTGAAGACAGTAAAATGTTACAGAGATCAAATGGTTAAACAACATGTCATCCTAAATTGAAGGGAAAAAATTCACTTTATATTCAATAAATATATTAAACAAACCTTTAATCCAATATTTTTTTTTTCACGAATAATTCGACCCAAATCAATAACTGCCTGCATACGTGACATACGACGTTCAATTTCAGAGTCAAAATATTCATTCCTCACTTCTGGGAAAGGTAAAAAGTGAATAGAACGATCATCTTCATTGGAATCAGATGGTGGTAGATATTTTTTTAAGTTTTGGTAAATATGCTCCGTGAGGAAAGGGGTGAAGGAAGCCTATTTAAATTTGACTTTAAGACATATGTAACGACTGTAATTCATAAAGTATTATTTCAAAAATATCCTTCTTTTACCATAACACGGCATAGTGTTAACAAGACTTCAAATAACGTATTTAATGCATTTATGGTATCTTCTGGACCATTTTCGCCCTTCAGCCGCTTGCGGTTAAATCTAACATAACCGTTAGTTAATTGTTCAATGAGATTTAATAATCTCGGGACAACAGTGTACAATCTATAGGCTAATTACAGATTAACGCGTCTGTTATTCAATGTGCTAGCAACCAGAAAAATATAATTATATTATATGACAAATTCATACCTCCCATTTCCTCACGTACAAACTTTATAAGACTTTGAGTACATGCTAATATCCACCTATCCATAACATTTTCAGATTTCTTTGCCAATGGATTGTATTTAAATTCTATTTTAGTATCCTATGTGGATATTTTATGATAATCGTAAATATATGTGCTTATAAATGTATAAATAAACATTAGTGGCTTGCTGTTTAATAAATCCCAACCTTCTTTAACAATACAACTTGCGAGTCAAAGAAACGATATGCATTGTACCAAGGTAGAAACACTTTGGAAATAATCTCCTTGACACCTTCTTCTTTGTATCTCAATGGCTCAGCGCGTACGACTGGAGAATTAACAAGGTATAATCTGAAAAACATGTAAACTATTTAGAAATTATCAAGGATAAAATCGCCAAGAGATTTTGAGAGACTTGTAATTGCACCTCAAAGCATCAGCACCATACGCGTTAATGATAGTTTGAGGCTCAGGATAGTTCTTCAGGCGTTTGCTCATTTTCTTACCATCTCTATATGCGAATTAAATAAAGTAATAAATAGATTGCAAAAGTTGAATCCGAACTCATTGCAATAAAATAGATAATATCAATACATACGATGCTAATACCAGACCATTTGTTATTAGATTTTTGAAGGCTGGTTTATCAAATAGATGTGTAGATAAGACCATGAGAGTATAGAACCATCCTCTTGTCTGATCGAGCCCTTCGGCAATAAAATCAGCAGGAAAAGAGGCTTCAAATTTTTCTTTATTTTCAAAAGGGTAATGACATTGTGCATACGGCATACTATAAAAATATTAAATTATTGATTATCCAATATAAAAAATAACATATTGAATTAAAACTGCACTCATTATATGTACCTTCCAGATTCAAACCAACAGTCAAAGATCTCTTCCACTCTTTTTAATGAGCCCTTTCCTTTTTTTGAAGGAATGGTAATATGATCAATTTTGTCACGATGAATATCTGTTAATTTATCACAACCGGACAATTCCTCTAGTTCTGCCAAAGAACCAACACAAACAATCTGTTGTGAATAAAACAGATAGTATTTGTAATTAATTTAATCATAATTATGCATGAAATATTAAATGGAGAAAACATATATAAAGTAAAGGCCAAAATTCACCTCTTCATAATCATCACTAACCCATAGTGGAATTGGCGTGCCCCAATATCGATTACGAGAAATATTCCAATCTCGGGCATTTATAATCCAATTTGCAAACCTTTTTTCTTTGACGAACTCAGGAACCCTTTATTTCAAGGTTTAATTGTGTTATTATAATTTGACAATGAAAAAAATATAAATAAATAAATAAACTCACCAGTAAGTTTCTTGATTGTTTTTTAATAATTGAGGGATGATGGGTTTAATGCGAACAAACCACGATGGAACAGCTTTATATATTAATGGAGTATCTGAGCTACAAATATTTTAAGGCGCATAAGCGTTACCAATCTATTCGAATGCCAATAATGTTAACAAAGAATTCAAGTTTATGTTTATGTATATCGATTAGTTCAATTACTTACCGCCAACAAAAAGGATAACTATGATTAACTTGAGATTGTACTATTAATCGATTATTTTGTTTTAAAAGTTTTTGAATATTCTTATCGGCATCCTAAAGGAAAGAAAAAATATATATTTGTTAAATTAGAATTCTCTACAATAACAATAATAATAATAATAATAAGTTCATGATGCTTTTGATTATAAATTTGAGTATTGAACCTTGACATGCATTTTAGCGAAGTCAGTTACTTCCGAAGTGAATAAACCTTGTTCGTCGACAGGACAAGGAAGAAAACCATCTTCCGTAATAATATTGTTTTTGAGGCATATACGATAATCATCTTCACCAAAAGCTGGTGCTTGGTGAACAATTCCGGTACCACTGTCATCAGTGACATATGTGTCATTTAATACGATGAATCCTTTACCTTTAAACTAATTATGATTAAATATATTACGATCAAACAATTTATGAAATTTATGATGGATGAATAAACGTGTATTATTAACGAAAACAAAAAAGTGTTAATCGCTTAATTATAAAAAATAACAAATCAAAAAGTTTAAAATCGCTGGTGTATATTTCTTCACCTGAGGAACGAAATATTCGAATAAAGGGATGTATTCCCATCCTTTCATATCTTTTCCTAGGAATTTTTGCAATATGACATATTTTGCCTTCTTGAGATCTTTATATAAAGTATTTAAACACTTCTCCAGAAGAATATAGATCTTCCCAGAATTTTCGTCCTTAATCTTAATATATTCAAAATCAGGATGGGTACAGAGAGCTAAATTACTAGGTAACGTCCATGGTGTTGTCGTCCATGCTAAAAGAAGCACGTCCGGTTCATTGACCAAAGGAAAAGAGATGACAACTGACAAAAAAAGATAAATAATTAAATTACAAATTGGATAAATAATAAAGTTGACAGTTTATCAGAAAATTTACACCTACTAGCTGGGTCATTAACATCTTTATAATTTTGAGCAGCCTCAAAATTTGAAATTGGAGTCGTACACGCAGTAGAATATGGCATTATCCTTACACCACGGTAAACTTGATCTTTTTTATATAATTCTTTGAACACCCACCAGACGCTTTCCATAAAAGAGGTGTTTAAAGTTTTATAATCATTATCAAAATCAATCCAACGGCCAATACGTTCTACAGTTTCTCGCCAAGCTCCTGAATATCGCATAACAATGCTTTTACATTCTTCATTGTATTTGTCAATTCCTAATGCTAAAACGTCATCCTTACACTGAAATTACAAATAACCCTAATTAATAAAGTTTTATTGATTTGTCGATAATGAATACGAAAAAGTATATAAACCTTAATATTTAATTTTTTATCAATTTCATATTCAACAGGTAAGCCATGACAATCCCAACCGAATCGACGTTCAACGTAATAACCATTCTGAGTTGCATAACGAGTCACAATATCCTATTTTATTATTTAAATGTTGAATAAGCTTGCATGTTTTAATGCATTTAATGGCCCAATACATACTAATACGTGTAGTACGTGCTATTTACCTTGATAGTACCGGCCAACAAATGTCCATAATGCGGAAGCCCAGTTGCAAATGGAGGACCATCGTAGAACGAATAGGGTGGTTTACCCTTGGATAAATTTATTTGTGTATTAAAAGCGTCAATTTTCTTCCAGAATTCGAGGATTTTCTCCTCTTCTTTTGGAAAGTTGAATTGCCCTAACAATCATAATTTTTCAATAAAAAAACAAATAAAATTAAAAAAATAAAAAGAAATGGAATTATAAACCTCACCTTCCATGTTTAATTAATCGAGGAATGTATCTTGTACGTAGGAGTTTGATCTGTCGATTTATATAATTTATTTATCGAAGTTGCATCACATTCGATTATCGGTTCAAATTTAGTACATTCGTTAATCAATCTGACTCATAATGCTGCGGAACTTTTAATCTATACCGTAGCACAACTTAGCCAATCAAGACTTTCCGCACTCATGCCTTTGCTGCGACCTTGACCTTTCTGAATATTTTATTCGCGATTTGACAGAAGTTATATAGTTGTTATCGTGCGGTTTTTTATAATAAGAACGTCCGATTGTAATGAGCTTTAATGAATTATACTGCGCCTATCAATGTCTGGTAATTTATTGTAAGGCTTGTATAGTAAATAGATATATAGAGTATTTGAATTTAATTGATCTATTTGATTGGTCAATTATTATGAATGGATTGGCATATCTGTATAAATAATAACGCTGATAATAATTACGAAAGAAATTCTGCATTGTACACGCTTAAGAATGGGAAACGAAGTAAATCAAAGTACAGCGGCAGCCACAGCTCGCGAATTGATGACGCAAAAGGATACCATTGAAAACCAAATTAAAGAATCCGAGCAAGTTTTAATTGCAGTATGTTATTTATACCTTATTCAAAATTAGTTAGTTCTAGTTCTTTATTTTTTCTTTAATATATAGCAAGGAGTAGGAATGCATGAACCTTTGGTCGACAGTGAAGGGTTTCCGCGTGCTGATATCGATCTAATGGCAGTAAGAACAGCTCGTGCACGAATAATAGGTAATATTAAAACCATGTATTATATAAACTTTGATTATTTTATAAAATGTCTGAGAATTCAGATTTCAATTTGTTTATAAATCGCTCATCCTGCTTTTTCACGAATAAAATATAATTTAAGTCTCATAACAATTTACAATTTATAACATTAGCATTACGAAATGATCACAAAAATATTATGTCCCGAATAGAATCTGCCCTTCATGAGATTCACGCTGAAAACAAAAAAAACTCGTCAACTTGAAAAGACGAACGGGATTGTCTCAATCTTGTATTTATATACTTCAGTTAAATTCACACTTTATTTTGTAGCCTTTAATTAAACTTGTTTATTTTTTATAAACTAAAATCAAGAAAACCTAAGAGTGATTTAGCAACTAGACAGGATACATAGGTCTTATAGTTATGTAAATCTTGTATAAAATAATTTTAAAAGTATAAGATTTTCACGCTCAAATAAACCATCGAATTGTAAAATAATTATTATTCAATCGAAACTTGAGTAGAAATGGCTAATAGTTTTTTAAAAAAGTACAGCGAACACTATTTGGACGCTTAATTGCGGACATTAATTTGGGCATTATTCACACATTACAAAAATTATTAGTCAATAATCATGTGATAAATAGAGGTGCCGTATAAGTAGAAGTGCTGCATACCGTATAAATGCCATATGCCGTAAAGTGTTGCTGTATTTACCTTAATTCAGTGGGTGAATATAAAGATGATCTATTAATCGGTGGATTAAAAAAATGATTCATATTTACAACCACTTATTTACCACTAACTAATACCCTTCAGGTTTCCATTCTATTCGGTCAGTAAGTATTACAATAAATTTTTAATGATATAAAACTTATATATAATATTTGACTATGACAATGGTAACCTAAATACGGCAAAAGTATACATTGGTATGGAGTTTAGGATGTGATCCCAACAAGTAAAAATGAGAGAATTTCAGCTTAGAACTCTGGGAATGCAATTGAGTGGATTTCAAACGCGAAATTTTGACTTCAAAAATAACTTATATGTTCTCGACATTATCGCTATGGGCGTCCCAAAATAACGCGCATCCTAATGTAGCACATAATTTATTGTTGTAATAAATGATATACAGTCGACACTCCATACGTGCACTCTCTTTCCCTATAATGATAAGTGCACATAATTTGATCGGTCTAATGTAATTATTTAATATGTAGATTATGAATATCTATAAATGCACTTTTACCCAAAAACGTGAAGTTATGGAAGGTTGATTTAGAAAATCTACTCTTATTTCGAAAATACCGCACATGTGGTTATTTCGCGCTTATACGTACGGTATCTAACGTTAAATAAATTGGCAAAAAAGGATTTGGTTATGTATATTCAGCAACTTGGCTGGATGCTATACGAAATTGATAAAGCGCATGATTTTTTGTGTTTAATGAAACTTGATTAGCCAGTGAATTTTTCAGGGTAGTAACGTTATATGACACTATCTCACGGCAATATAACCTCGGGGTAGTAATGCCGTAAGTAGTCATTATCTGAGAAATGTCTGCACCATTAGTGATAAACGGTGTAGCCAAGCGGGACAGTTCTTACGGATAATACTGCAATAAGGACAGAGCAAATTCACATGATACTATTATGTAAAACCATTAACCCTAACTGTCCCTAACAAACTACTCATGTGTGAAAAGATAGGGATTAAAAAAAATGGTTTGGGCCGATCAAATAATAACAGATAAGCCTTTTTTAATACATTGTTTCAGCCAATCAAATCGTGAATTTTTAAAAAATCAAAATTAATGAAATCGAAGCGAAATTACTGAATTAAAGATATTTAATTAAAATTTATATTTAAAATCCAGGGTTAATACCGTCAGATAACTTTACAATGTAAAATTTATTATCAGGAACCAGAACGTATTGTAGAAGAATCAATTGACGACAAAAAAATTCTATCCCAATTTTACATTAAAACTATACAATGAAAGATTGTTTAAAATTAAACAAGCTCGGGGCGTCTCATATACAAAATGATAAAAGTGAAATTAAAAGGCAACAAATTGCATCAATAGAAAAGGTAAAGTTTTAATTTATTTATTTTAAAATCATATATTAATTAGTAAATCCACTAATGCTAATGTATACTAACAATAATAAAAGATTATGTCGTGAAACTAGTTTTCAAGGTGCAATTGAAAAAAAACAAAATTTGGATCAACGTTTAACGTTAATAAAAAAAACATATCTATACGTACAGTAGTACAAAATAAAAATGATTTATTGTTAGATATTGAATTGAAGAAATTGCGTTAAATTAAAATTAGTGCTGAGGCTATCTAAATACAAAAACGCCAGTTATAAATTCTATATATATAGATATATAGTTTAAATATTTTATAATAAATATGCTTAGTTATCTTTGTGCTTAATTTCAATAAAGATTAAATGTGCTTGAATTAATAACGATAAATACTAATACTACATGTATAAAAAAATATCGAATAAGAGAAAATCAGGAATCGAACTTGTAATTTAACGACTCAATTATAATATTTCTCAAGATTGAATCCGGTGTTTAAAAACAATGGTTTCTCTTACGGTACGTATAATAAATATTGAGGTATAATAACCAGGTTTGTAACCGTGTAATAACCATATTGATATAATAACTATATACTGTATATATAGCAAGTATATTATACCAATTACACAGTACGTATAATATAATTGCCTACCTCTATTTACGATTAAAAAAAGTTAAATTACAGTACTATATATATGTATATATATAGTACGAAATTTTTTTAAAGTACGTACTAACAAAATTTTGCTCAATTTTCTATATTTGTACTCCCGTGCGTACTACTTTACTAAATACCTGTTTAAAAAACAGTATGTAGCATTTCTGGTGATTTTTTTTGATAGTGGGGAAGTTCTAGATATAATATTGCAGACAAGCTAACTAGATTTATTCATAAAAAAAGTGCCAAAGTTATCTAATTTGATAAACGATCACAGTAATTTGAAAGGCGTGATAACGATAAAGATAATATTTGAAAAGCCTATTTTTTGCCTTATTGATGATAAGATGGCTATTATATATTTATTTTTATTATGTTATTAAATTTATATAGACAAATTTGAAATGCATAATGGATAACGAACCATTTTTTTATATATAAAAATTTTTGCATTACGTATTCCTGTTCCTTTTTCAGTATAAATTGAATACGTAGTAAGTATTTTATTATCCTAAATGATTTATTTAGAATAAATGTGAAATTTTTTAAACCAACTAATCGTTGATTGATTATCTACATAGCTTCTAATGGTTTACTTCAATATTGATTGGGACTTTTGTTTTATTGCATTTGACGTAGAATTTTTTAGCCAATCAGAATGGTTTGAAATGATACATAAAACACGTGATTATTTATTATGCCAATCAAATTTATTAAAAACATGTGACTATTAGTAAAAACGCACCATATTTTTTCTAAGTAAATTTTTTTGAAACTTTAAACAAGAATAATTCAACAACAACTTAATTAAATT